TTTCTATTAAAGGATCCCCATGTTTAGCATGGGGGATATACTGGATAAAGAGATGCTTCATCCTTAGGAAGGAAAGAACAGGAGAGTGTAAGGCTTAATCCCGTTCCTCAGAATTGCATGGGACTAAATATTGTACGCAGCTGTTTTCAGATTTTGCTTGCCCACAGATAACCGGGACATCAGAGAACAAAACCCCTTATAAGAGAGGGCTACTACACTTATTCTCATCCTTATGAGCCGTTTGTCTTCACTAATGGCATGTCCATACTCCCAGTGATGATAGCAATGCCTGACATTTGGAAAATACATGTAGAAGAAATGAACTTACTTTCCTGGTTCCCAGTTTCTGATAAGATGATAGTCTAAGGTCTTTTGATGTGCTCAGTAAAGTGAAGTTATCAAAGAGAGAGGGGGTCAATCCTGCCTAAAAAAGCAGGTGCAGGAGGCAGAGCCAAGTTGCCGACTGGAGGAATGGAGGACAAGAGGGCAGTCCAACGCAGCCTGCCAGAGTATCTGGAGTTCATGCATGCTAAGGTCAAGCAAGATGGATCAGATGCGATGTGGATGTTCGCTGAGTTCTCAATGCAAAGCCTGTTCCAGGAAACAAAGAAGCAGTGCCCGCCATGGGAGTGGACACTGCAGTTGGCTGCAGCCTTCATTGGCACTGGGATTTACATGAAGAGAAAGTTGGCAGTAGTGCTGTGGAGACTGTAGTGTTTGCCTGTCTTCTCTGACAGGCTGTAAGCTTCTAGGGAAAGATGCTGTCTAGTTGGTTGTTAATCCTGGTGCAAAATCTGCTCTTTGGGGAGAGGGGGAGGAATGGAGTTAAAAAAAATTCCAACACACACACACACACACACACACACACACACACACCAAAGCTAAAACTAAATATCAAACCAAATAAACAAAAAGGTAAGAAAGATATTAGATCTTTTCCATCTTGAATATACCATAGGGATACAGAAAGAAACAACTAGAATGTTCCCCTTCAAATGTGACTGATAGAAATCTTTCATATGCACTGATTGGCTAGTGGCAAAGGCTTTGAAACCACATCTCTCTGATGTTGGATGGATTCTACAAGCAACAGACTCATACTCAGATAGGATAATTCCTCTCACTCAGAACAGTAAAGATTTGAACTTTAAATCAGAGCAGTGAGGATTTACGAAGAGTTATTAGGAGCTGGAGAGATGACACAGTGTTTAAGAGCATTTGCTATTCTTGCAGAAGACCCATTTTTTTTGTTCCCAAGATTGACACAGCAGCTCACAACTGTACTGTAACTCCAATTCCAGGAGATCCAACTCCCACTTCTGGCCTCTGAAGTCACTTGGACTGCATATGGTGTGTATACATACATGCAGAAAAACACTCATATACATCAAACAAAAAGAAATAAACTCAAATAAATAAGTATAAGGAGCCAATGGCTTCAATTTCTGCTAGGGTAAGAGCCTTTAATGTTCTCTAATTGTAAGATCAATGTATTCCTAATTAAACAACCTTCTAAAGTACTTTGAAACATCCCCTAACAAACTCTGAAGTGCTTATGTCAACTTTAAAAAAATAGAAAATGAGTAACAGTTCTTGAGAGTTTGGGCCATTAGCTCATTAGGCAATTTTATACATATATTCCTGTAGATTTTATTTTTAAATTTTTAATTAAAATATATTTACATCATTTTCCCCTCCAACCCCTCCTAGATACCTGCCTTGATTTGTCTTAAAATCATGGCCTCTTTTTATTTAATTGCTATTACATACAAGCATATATTACACACACATACACACACACACACACACACACACACACACACACACACATACACCCCTAACTATATAAACAACAACCTTCCCAATCACTGTGGTATTAATTGTAAATTGTATGTATCTGAGGTCAGGGCTGACCACTTGGGATTGGACAGCCAATTAGGGGTCTCATCCTTGGGGAAAGCTAATTCTACTGCTCTCAACATCTTTTGGTTCCCTATAGTTCTTTGTCTAGGGATGGGGCACTGTACAATTTCCCTCTTTCATATCAGCATGTCTATTGCTAATGTATTTCTTCGGTTTTTCTTTAGGTGGTCATTTATTTGTTTTTGAAAAGGTATTTTCAAGTTAAAATTAGGTATGTGGCAACTGGTTGATAGTTTGAGACCAGTTTCAAGTATTTATTTGCTTTGGGGTTATCTTTTCTCAGAACTTTTCTGGGTTTCCTCTGCATCCTGAGTTAAAGTCATGGTGGGGTTTCCTCTTGACCTTTTATCTATTTTTTTAAATTTCCACTGTAGTTCCTTCCATAGTGTGAGTAACAAGAAAGAAGAATTCATTTGCATGCTGAAGAACATGAAGTGGTCAAAGGAGAACATTTGATTAAGGTCTGAGGGTGGAAAGAAAAGCCACAGCAATATCTACTGTGTGAGTGTTTGATGTCTACCTCAGTATGTGATCAAATGGCTCTGCTAGCCTTCCTGCTGGAGAGAATGTAATCCTGGAGCCTGGGAGGTGGCTCCCCTGCCCTGTGACATTGGAATGCCAGCTTGTTTTTTTCCCCTTTGCTTCCTGTCCCATGACACTGAAATATTGGATTTCCTCCCACTTGTTTTCTGTTTCCTTCTAAACAGGTGATCTTCTAGGCAATAGAAGAGTGTTTTGAATCCAGCTCAGTTGCATCTACTGAATGTTACTTTGTGCAAGAGAGCTATCTGCAGGTGATGGGCAGCCTGGGCTCTCTGGTGTGCCTAGGACAGAACATTTCTATGAATGTGGGTCTGGCCAGCTAGTTTTCACCTTCCTGGATGTCTACCTCTTTATATCCACTTTGACTTTCATCAGATAGCTACCTCCCATCCCCATTTCTCTAAATCAATCCTGATAACCACACACCCCACACTCAACTACTATGCAATCAACACCAGGTAGTTACCTGTCACATAATCCCCACGTTGGCATTTATAAAACATTTACTCTTGGCTGGGAAGAGGTGGTGCACACCTTTGATCCCTGAACTAAGGAGGCAGAGGCAGACATATCTTTATGAATAGTGAGTTCCAGCACACCTAAGGCTATGTGAGGAGACCCTGTCTCAAACAAAACAAAACAATCCCCCAAATTAATTCATACATAATTTTACGTTTGGCTGAGTACATGTCAACTTGGCTCCAGTCTCTCCTCTAGATCTGCCTCATCCCCATACTAAATTATTTCTTTCTTAGGTTGCTGGAAAATAGGCTGATCTAAATGGGGGACTTTTTAAAACATAGAAATTCAGATTCGTGCAAGCCACAAATCATTATAAGTCTATAAAGGGGTGAATGTGAACTTGTCCCTTAAATTCTGTCTGCTCATGTGTTTAGTCCGCCATCTACTGGCCCAGTGTTACAGAAGGAAGGAGAGCCTGAGATTCCAGGAAGAGAAAGGCAGCTCAGGCTGAGGTGACTTCCTCTCAGCTCCATGATGTAACTATATCTCAGTTTTACTCCCTCACAGGTTGGACACTGGTCCCCAATGTTGTGCACATGGTTGGGGAGCTAGTGGAATACATGAGAATTTGGGGGAAAGAGTGAGATTTTAAAGGACCCACTGAGAAAGGCAGAAGGTAAGCTGCACAATTACTTCAGAAAGCAGAACTCGGAAAGGATAAGCGCTCCAGTTGAACAAATCAAGGAGACTCTTTTATGAAAATGGGAAATGAACTGAGAGTATATGTTAAAAAAGGAAAAGTGTGGGCAGAAAATGAAAGATGAAGGCAGGACACCACCCGGCATAACACCAGGTCTAAATGTCAAGAGATTTATTGAAACACGCCTCTGTCCAGCTATAAAGTGGGGACTCATCCTATTACCTCCCAGGTATGTTAACTAACAATATATAAAAGCACTAAAGATCATGAAAATGCCTGACAAACTGGTAGATGTTGTCAGTAGGGGAAAAAAGAAGAAAACAGTGGCAATAAATAAGAGAAGGGAGAAGACTCCGGGAGGGTAATGAGGAACACATCTGCAAATAATGAAAACAGCATTTAGACTTATTACTGGGCAAGGAGCATTGATCCACTCTACAGTTTTGAACTGAAATCGGACAGATTTTTATGTATTCCCAGTGGTACCCAGCGGACAGAGAACCTTGCCACTTGGTCCCCTCTGTACTCTAGACAATGAGATAAGAGTGCTACATCTGAAGCCCCCTACAGAAATTTCCTCAACTCTCTGTTAAGAGCTTTGTATGCAGTTAAGGCACATATATGTGGGAGAGATGGAGCTGACCGAAGGATGCAACTAGGAATGAGAATTTTCCACTGAGAGAAGCTTTGGTGAACCCCGGGGATGCCACTGTTGGTGGCAGTCCCAAGAGCAACTAATCCTCTTAACCAGTGAGTCTGTCCACCCCCTCCACCTTGCTTTTGTGAGACAGGCTCTCTCACTGAACCTGCAGCTTGTTGTTTCAGCTAGACTGGCTAGCCAGTGAGCTTCAGGGACCCAAGGCCCTCTGCTCCTTCTCCCCAGTGGTGGGGTTACAGCCATGGTGCTCAATTTCTATGTCAGTGCTGGAATTTTGGACTCAGGTCCTCAAACACTTAAGAGACTGAGGCGTTTTCCCAGTCCCTCACACAACTACTTCTTGGGACTGTAAAAAGATTCTAGATTCCTAGAGCATCTGGAGAGCTGAATATCGTGAAACACACACGCACACACACACACTGTATTCACCATCGCGACAGAAGCTGGGAGCCAAGATGCCCATTCCCTGATGTAATGTCCAACTGCAGTCTCAGGAGACAACAGCCTTTGCCTGCATTGCTAACCTTTTACCAGCTTCCACCCATCCCAAGGAGAAATAAGGACCAAGAACACAGTAACATGAGCCCCAATTAACATAACATAAAAACAACTTAGTCATGTTTTCCATGGGCTTTTCCAACCCCAAACTCAAAGCATACAGCAAGCAGAAAGAGATAAAAATACATGCATGGAACTATAAATAGATCCGTGCCGTCTGGATATGCACGGCCAAGTTCTGTGGCCCAAATGAGCAGCTGTCTCCAGGAAAACCAGCCAGGTGGAGAAACCTGAGGATTTCCCCCTTTCAAAGCACAGTATGAGAATGGACAGGAAGGGAAACTACCCTGATGGTTTGGTGTGGAAGGGGTTAAGTCCTCAGTCATCCTATTCTGGAGTGATTTACGATGATGTGTAGAGTTTCAAAACTTTTCCCAGCCCAAGCACAGCCCTCTCCCTTCCCACCAGGTTCACTGACTCTCCGAGTACCGAAATGAGAAGGAGGCGTGTTTTGCTGATCTGTTAAATTCTTAGTGAAGTTTTCTTGATTTCCAGTGGCTGCTGTTGTTTGAGTTTGGTTGAAGCAAACCTGAGGGAGTCCTGACATTTCTGGAATGGAATTCAGATGAGGAAGAAGAAATAGAAGAAGTCAAAAAAAAAAAGGAGAAATAAAGGGAGGAGAGACGCAAGGAAAGGGGGGAAGTGTCCCCTTTTTTCACGTTCACATTCCTCTGTTTTCCCTCAGCCTGGAAAACATATTAATCCCAGTGCTTTTGCACTCGGAAACAAAGGGACTCAGCCAGACCGTGTGGGGAAAGGGTGATAAGAACGATCTTGGAACTCCACAGAGGGCAAGAGTGAGATTCAGAAATCACTAGGACTTCACTTTAAGGAAAATCCTTGTGGCAGCAAAGAACCAGCTCATACAGACCCAGGAGAAACTGCAGACAAATGGAGATACGGCCAGTCCCACAGACAGCGACTTTCACCTCATCTCACTGGACCAGAAGGTAAAAAGACATAGCCTGGAGAAAAAAAAGCAATCAGCCAGGCTGGACAGGCTGAGCTTCCTGGGTCTGCTTTTACAAACAGGAGCTGCAGCACACCCTTTGGTATTGCTCAGCCTCCACAAGGAGACAGAGGGCTGGAAGGAAACCATTTCATCTAGGAAACCGTCCTAGGAACCAAGCCTTTCCATTTCTTTTGAAAGCCTCTGCATCCCATCTCCATGAGTGACGATGTAAGTGTTCAATCTTTGCTTTTTGCTGTTTGCTTTGCTGTTGCTTGCTTGAAGAAATGAAGTGTGAATGTTGTCATAATTACAATGCCTGGTTTACGTGGTCTCTGGTGCATCCAGAGCACAGCTGAGGCAGTACAAGCGTGCCTGGCACCCGTGAAGCAAGGTTGCATTTCCTGCTTAAAGACTGACCCTGCTAAGCACTGACAATCACAGCAGCTTGAAAGCACGGTGTCTCACCCTGCTTTGTCTCCTCTACCCTCGCTCCTGTTTCTTCTCTAGCTACCCCTTCCCCTTGGCCAAGATAGAGAAAGAGATAATTCTCAGCTTTGTGTGCAATTAATGATTTTTTTCTTCTTCTCTCTCTCGTATTATGACCCCTCTGCATTCCCAAGTGAATAACCCAATGACGTGGAAAATGGGACCCCATTTCACCATGCTGTTGGCCATGTGGCTGGTGTGTGGATCCGAATCTCATTCCCCTGTCTTGGATAGAGACAGCCACACGGGGCGGAAAGTCCCTTTGGCCTCTCCAATCAGCGCTAGGTCAGCTCGGTATCTGAAGCACACCGGGAGGTCTGGTGGAACTGAGAAATCCATTCAGGAAGAACCAAATCTTCAGCCTCCCCAAAGGAGGAAGAGTGTACCCGTGTTGAGATTAGCTCACCCGACCGTGAGGCCAACCCCCTTGGGTATCAATGGAGTCCCAGTCAGACCTGAGTTGAGACCAATAGCTAGGAGCTCTCCGCGTGAGATGGTCCGAGATGAGGGGTCCACTGCACGGTCGAGAATGTTGCGGTTCCCTTCTGGGTCCAGCTCTCCTAATATCCTGGCCAGTTTTGCAGGGAAGAACAGGGTGTGGGTCATCTCAGCCCCTCACGCCTCAGAGGGCTACTACCGCCTAATGATGAGCCTCCTGAAGGACGATGTGTATTGTGAGCTGGCAGAGAGGCACATCCAACAGATCGTGCTGTTCCACCAGGCAGGGGAGGAAGGAGGCAAGGTACGGAGGATCACCAGTGAAGGCCAGATCCTCGAGGAGCCGCTGGACCCTAGTCTCATCCCAAAGCTGATGAGCTTTCTAAAACTGGAGAAGGGCAAGTTTAGCATGGTGCTGCTGGCGAAGACTCTGCAGGTGGAGGAGCGCTACCCTTATCCCGTCAGGCTGGAGGCCATGTATGAGGTCATTGACCAAGGCCCCATCCGCAGGATCGAAAAGATCAGACAGAAGGGTTTTGTCCAAAAGTGTAAGGCCTCGGGCTTAGAGGGCCATGTGGTCCAGGAAGGGAACAACGGCGGCGGAGGAGCAGGAAGCACAGGCCTGGGCAGTGAGAAGAAGAAGAAAGAGGACCCAAGGAGAGCACAAGTTCACCCCACCAGACAGCCTCAGAGAAAGCTGACCACCACCAAGGCAGCCACTCCACAACCTCCCCCAACCCCAAGGGTCACCACCCTTCCTCCTGCTCCAGTCACAACAGCCACTCGGGCCACATCCCGGATGGTGACAGTAGCTGCAAGACCTACAACCACGACTGCCTTTCCGACCACCCAAAGGCCCTGGACATCCCGGCTGCACCCCTTCTCAGTCGCGCACAGGCCCCCAGCAACGGCTGAGGTGACCACTGTCAGGGGCACTTCCGTCTCAGAACAGCTCTACCCTCTACCTCGGAAGGAACAACAGAGAGAGAAGCCACAGGCTACCAGAAGGCCCAGTAAAGCCAACTATGGGAGTTTCACAGCAGCCCCACCCACCAGCCTCTGGGAGAGCAGCACAAGAGCTGTGGGCACAAGTCGTTTCCGCGACAACCGCACAGACAGACGAGAACATGGCCATCAGGACCCAAATGTGGTGCCAGTTCTTCACAAGCCAGCAAAAGGGAAGCTGCCCAAAAAGAAGGACAAAATTCTTAGCAATGAGTACGAAGCTAAGTACGACCCCAGCCGACCCACCGCCTCTCAAGGGGAAGAGGAGTTGCAGGTGGACAGTGTTCCCTCCCAGAACGCGAAGGAGTCGAAGAAGCACGAAAAACTCGGGAAACCCGAGAAGGAGAAGAAAAAAAAAGGGAAGGGTGTGAAACCAGACAAGTTACTCAAGAGTGACAAGCAAACGAAGAAAGCCGAGAAAAAGAACAAGCAGGAGAGAGAAAAGAATAAGAAGAAGAAGGCGGGTAAAACAGAACAGGATGGCTATCAGAAGCCTACACCGAAACAGCTCGCTCCAAGTCCCAAGAAGTCAGTGAGCGACCTGCTGGGGTCATTTGAAGGCAAACGACGACTTCTTGTAAGTAATCTTTTAGGCACTTTTCCCTCATGCGCTGAGGTGGGGCATTCATGTGTTTGTTATGTGCATTTTTTTATTTTGGTTTTTCAAAACAGGGTTTCTCTGTGGCTTTGGAGGCTGTCCTGGGACTTGGCCTTGTAGAGAGATCCACCTGCCTCTGCCTCCCAAGTGTTGGGGTTAAAGGTATGCACCACCACTGCCCGGCTGTTATGTGCATTTTATAAAGTCTCATCTTGGATGACAAAGGGGCTGAGCCCACCTCATGTTTAGGAAGGTTGGGGGCAGGGTGTGGTGCCTCATACGTTTGATACCAGCACTTGGGAGGCAGACTGTGAGTTCTAGGTCAGTCTGATCTATGTAGTGAGTTGACTGTTGTGATGCTCACGGGCACTTTTCAAACTGGTGGGCAGATATCCTGTCTTCAGGAAGGCTACCTCCTCCATCACTGTCCCAATTACTAGGAAGAGCAGGGAGAATCCCAGGATGGCACGTGGCTGAGTTCTTCCATTTGGTTTCCAGAGCCTCAGAGGTGTGTCTGAATTTGGAATCAGCTGTCAGTCTCTCCAGGCCTTATTGGCCATGGGTATGTGTGCCCACACTGGGGAAGGGAGGCAATTCTGCTTCTGTCTGCTGTTCTGAGTACCACTAGTGTTGAGTGTGCACATCCATCCCAGGAACCTTCTCTGTGAGCAATACTGTCTGTAAAACGGTAAAAGGATTTAGATAAATTGAAAGAAGGCTTTGGGTAGGAACAAGCCAACGCTACAGGGAAGGTCTTTTCTCATCAGGGACAGGACATGATTCTTGTTTGTGACTCCTCCTGTGTGCACCCATTTTTCAGAACTTCTTAACACCATGATTTTTAGCCCAGGCTGCCAATGTTTTCCTTAGATATCCATGGAGGGAGCCATGGCAGGCCATTGCGATCTCGCCCATCCTCCTGAACTCAGGACCTGACTCCTGGCCTGCTTTCACCTTGCACGACAGACAGGCACCCTTCTCTAAGGCATTTCTCAAGAGTCTTTCAGTTTGTCCAAAGCAGCCTAAATTTGGATTAATGATCTGAGCAAAGAGACTCTGATGGCCATGTATCTTTAGTGGTTTCAAACTTTTTAAATGCACATTTGAAGTGCTAACCAGAGCAGATGCCCTTGTGGTATTTACTCTGGGTGGAGCATGTCCTGAATTATTTTGTTTTCATTTCCATTAATAGTGGTGTTAGGGATTAGAAAACAACCTAAGGTCTAGCTGACTTTGAGAGAGAGAGAGAGAGAGAGAGACAGAGAGAGACAGAGAGAGACAGAGAGAGAGAGAGAAGCTCTCTTTCATACTTCCTGTAAGTTGATGGCATTTTAAACCAGATTTTTCAAGTGAATGTACACATTTAGGCAATCAGATGATAGGCTATTTGTTAAAGTAGTTTAACTGCTGTTTCTATATTCCCAGAATCCATAAACTGTTCCAATTAGAGCCATAAGAATCACTGATTCAAAGTAGAACTTTAGTTGGTACCTGGATGTTTGTCCAGGATCCATGGAGCCAAGCTGCTCTCTTGGGGCGTGGGAAAGCATTTCCACTTGGGCTGCTTAGCTCACTGAGTACCTGGGACTTTGTCCAGCCCACTAAAACACCCTGTCACCCAGTTCTGTCCGTTTAGACAACAAGGCAGGCAGAGTGAGCCTCATGGCTAGATTTTAAACACAGAAAGAAGTAATCAAGGGTAAAATGTCAGGATTGTAATTGTGCACCGCCTGACAAATACTCTCATTGCCCCAAGCGGGTAAGTTAAAAGAAAGGGGTTTTCATGCTTGATCCTGGTGTTAGCTGTGCCTTCAACTTCCCTTGCCTGCTCCCTGCTCTGTGTGTTAGGGATCAGAATGCTCAGCTGGGACTTCTCAGCTTTTAACAGCATCTATGCTCATAAACTGTTATCAAATGAAACTCAAAGGACGGCTTCTGCTGATGTCGTACGAAGCAAAGCAGAAAACCGCTGGAATCACGTCTGCCTATGCTGGCTTTTTGCAGCTAGCCAGAGAATGAGGTTTGTTATTAGAAAGAAAATCCCAACCGGACACAGCTCAGTCTGTCGGTCCCGTGTGTGACCAGACGATCATATCGAGGATGTGTTTTCTGAAGTGCTAATGATGTATGAAGGGAGAATGGAGTAGAGAAGAGAGATGGAGCTACCATGATATTAAAACAATGCTCCTGGGCGAAAGGCATTACTCGCTCATGAATCCCTCCCCACTCACTTTTTCCATGTTACTCAGGAAGTATGGTGATTCAATTAGCATTCATTAAGGCTGAGCAGTTAGTTTTGAGCTGTTAAAGTATGGTGGAGAACATTTACTTGTAGCCTCAACTTAACTTGGAATGTTCAACCTAGGGGTGGGTTTGCAATCCAAGAAATGGTGTGGACTTTCTGGCTCATTTCTCCAGCTTTTCAGTAACTGGGTCCCTGACTCTAATTTATTGTAAAACTCACAGTGCTTTGTATTCATGCATACCACTCTGTAGATGGGAAAACATCCCATAACTGCTCTTTAACTGATTACTCAGGGAAACGCTAGCAGCAATAGTGTAAGTTGTGGTTGAGCAAATGGCTTTCTCGAGGCCTTCAAGCACATTGCAGACAGAGCCAGGTACTGTGCTTTTTTTTTTTTTTTTTTTTTTGGTTTTACGAGACAGGGTTTCTCTGTATTGTTTTGGAGGTTGTTGGTCCAGCCCGGCCTCAAACTCACAGAGATCCACCTGCCTCTGCCTCCCGAGTGCGGGGATTAAAGGCGTGTGCCACCACCGCCGGGCTGGTACTGTGCTTTTAAGCCAAGAGCACTCCTGTAAAAGCCCTCTGCCTCTCAGATTGTTAAAAAGAGCAGATTCTAAGTGTAAGATGCTTTGTTGAAACTTCATGGTTTTGTTCTCACAATTCCTACAAGGAATGACTTATTAACCTTCTTTCCCAGACCTGAAAACACAAGTTTATATTCCTTGAGATGTCTGCCCAAGGCATGTAGCTGTTAATGTAACAAAGACCTTGTATCTGTTCAACTTCAACCTCCCTTCCACTGAGTCTTGGGAGGTATACACCACAAAGTAACTGGGTAATTGGAGAAGAAAACTATCCCCTCATAGAGAATAACATTTAACACTTCATTTTGGGGTTAGTAAGATGACCAAGCAAGCTTTACAACCTGAGTTCAATCCCCACAACCCACATGGTGAAAGGAGAGAACCATCTCCCAAAGGTTGCCCTCTGACCTCCCAGTGCACTCTGACCTCTCGGTGCTTCACACACCCACATGGCCCACATGCATAAATACATAATATATTTCCTAAAACTTCATTTTGTACTTGGAGTTTTAAAGACAAGTGAAGAAACTGTCCCGTTTTATGGTAAGTGCAAGCGAGGAGTCACTGCCTTTGCCACAGAGCTCAACTCTGGCTTTCCAGGCGGTTGGAGAACAGTTGACTGAATCCACTTTCTCTTCCTTCAGTTTACTGGATGCCCATTTGGTCTTGGCTACAGTTCATCACTAAACCATTGGTCCTTGTAGAGGATAGCTAACAAGCAGTCATTTGGTGGCTCTGAGATCCACCTGAGATCCACCTGATGTCAGCTCGTGGGAGCTTTGATATGTTGAACTACAGCTTTCTTTGGCAATGGGATCTCCTACACTCCAAGACGGGTTAATATTTTCAAGTCTGCCACAGAGACTTGGGAATGGAGATAGCTATTTACTTACTTGGTTTAGTTTTAGAAAAGGACTTAAAGTTCTGTTTTACAAGGCAGCCTCCAAGATAAAAGCTAGTTTATGGAATCCTTTAAAAATCTAGAGCCTCACACAGTACTTAGACCAAGCGAAGACTACAAACATTTCAAAACTTCCCCAGAATCTTGTGATCTCTGTTTTACGCCCTTTGCTTATACAATCAGTTTCATTCTCTTCTGGGACTCATTGACCCAAAACACCATTGGAACAGAAACACAAATAAGATCACTGCAGAACTGTAAATTCCGGACACATGCTCCAAGTTACCGCCATCAGGCTGGCAAGAGGCCAAACCGACGGGACCCTTCCCTGAAAAGTACTGTGGTGTTACTTCTAGGAAGAGAAAACTGGAAACAGTTTCCATTTTAAGCACTGTTAGAAATGCTGCCAAGCTAGAATATAGATGTGACAGAGATGTCAGCACATAGGGAAACGGCTCTGACATGTCAGTTGGCCATCTCCCCTCTCCCCTCCTTTCCCCATGCAAACTCCATCAGCAGACTGAATGTAAGGAAAAGGTTTTCCATCTGGCTTACGGGCTCATAATCAGGGATCCTCATGTTTCTGGGTCCCTCCTGCCCCTGGTTTGGATAGACTGATCCCTAGCTTGTGGAATGCTGACCAGCCAGCATGGATCACGGGATAGCTTCAGGTTCTGAGATCTCAGTGCCTTAAGGAACTTGACGTCAACATAAAATATATATAAAGGAGATACAAAATTTCCATTCAAGCTGTGCAGACATGTGGAACTGTAATTAAAAGGAGTGAGTGTATGAGATATGGAAGTAGGGGAGAGTCTAGAGGACATGGATAAACACAGATTTAGGAAACTAGTCAGAGGCAACACACATGTGTGTGTTTGGATGCATGGCCCTGTATAAGTATCTATGTATACTGTTCAATTCCTGAGAGTTTATGAGTTTTGCATAGAGGTTGTTCCAGGTAAAGATGACAGAGGTGAAAGGCCACAGCCTATCCAGGGGTTGAAGAAAGACAAAAATGCCAGGCTTCCCAATTTGATGGTGGACATCACCCTTTCCTCTGTGCCATTCCGCCTCAATGTTGAGAGTGGTCTGATAACACTGCTAAGTAGAGAGAGCATCTAAGCCTGGGGAGAGAGCCTGCAAGGCCAGAAGGCAGGAGGTGAATCATGCCACATGAATATCCCATTCCTGTCGAGTTAAAGCATCCCTGGGCAAAAAGCTCCAGGTGAAAATAAGCCTGGGAGGATTCCGTTTGTCTGGGATTCACGCTGGGCCTCCATGGCCTGATGCTGCTGTGTATACACGTGGGAGAAGCTGGCATGCAGGCGAGGAAGGGCATCTCTGAGATTACAGATTGTCTGAAATTCTTAATTATACATGCCCCAAAGGAGAAGACTGGAGGAAGCTTTGAGAATGCTTAAAATATGGCCATGGACCGCAGGGCTCCATGATTGAGAATGAGACAGTGACCTGAAGCCTGGGTATGGATATGGACTGAGAGGACAGTAATTATCATTCATCTAGTGTCTGGAAGCTGTGCCTTGGAACGCCTTAGAAAATATTCTAAATATGGGCTAGGAGTTCAAAATCATGAACAGCCCATCATTTTATCTTTGTTTTCACTGTTTTATGTTCTCACTTAAACAACATTTTGTTCATTCCAAAAGGGTCTGTTTATGAGCAAAGACATGCCAAAAAGAAAAAAGAAAAATCTAGACTATGTCAAGTTAAAATAAATTTTTAAAATGTTTCCTTCCCTACTAAAACACATATAGCTAAATTAAAAACAAACTAACATCAGAAAATACGATCACTGCATCTTTCTAGAACCACCCTCCTTTTTTTTCTTAAGGCTAAGTCTGAATCAAGGAATAAATTTTAGATAGTATGTGTAATTTTGACACTTTACCTCATGGAGATTACATCTTTTCAAACATATTTTCTAGCCACTATGTTTATAGGCATCAATAAACCACTCTACTGGATAAAAATATAAACAGCAAGATCAATTTGGAGTCAAATTTACTGGCCATTTTTGATAAAAAAAATGTTTGACAGAGGTTAACAACATAGTAACTTTTCCCACCAAAAATGCTAACCTGATAGACACAGACTTTAGAAAGAGTTTAAGTTTTGGGTGGGTAGATAGAAAAGTGTCTGTTAAATTTTAATATGGCAAAATGCAAGAAAATGTTTACAGAAAATAATAAATACATATAGGGGCTTACTCCAAAGTCCCATGGTGAGCCAACAAAGGTTGCCTGCTCAGGGCTCACTAGTGACACGGGCCATGCAAGTTCTCCTGACTCCAGGAGACCAACAAGACCTGGTCTTCAAAGGAATACATCTTCATGTCCTTCTACTTCCAAGACAAGCAAAGTATTGCTGCCCATTCTTGGCACATGGGAAATAGTTTTGGTTTCAGCTTAGAAGTTTCCAAAAAAGCCAACTAAAATGATCAAAGGATCAGAGAAGCTTTTCTGTTAGGATAGACTCAAAACACTGAGACATTCTTAGAGGATACAAAAGAACCTAGATAATTAACTAAACACATACACATACACAGGCATACACACAACCATACATGCATACTCATACAAAGAAACATACAAACATTCATAATATAACCAAGGCATTCTCATTTTAACCAAAACAAAATGTAATACAGCTCCCCAGATGGTTAGAGATCAAAATATCTCTGCTGTACCTTTTCTTCACAAGTCAAGAGTAATAAAACATGGATGAAATCCCAGGTCTGGTTTAGAGAGAAGGCCAAAGTGAAACAGTTAAATCCATCCTGATGGGGTAGGGCTGGGCTCTAGTATCAGAATCCCCATCCTTGGGCCCAGTGTGACAATGAATGTCATCTGTGCAGCAAAATATATCCCTCAAAGCCATCGTAAAACTGTTTGTAAGGCTGACTGATAAAAATTCTGATCCACAATGTGCAGTACTGGCTGTGAAACTCTTTCAACATCATGGAAATGAAACAAAAATGACTGAATTATCCTGATTAGTTAGTTAGGATGATGAAGACCAAAATATGAAGGCAAATAATTATTCCACATCAGATATTCATAGAATGTGACAGATTTGAAGAATGAATATTTCCGTGTGCCCACAACTAGGAAAACCATAGATAGTACAGATGAAATGAAGGCAAATTAGAGAACTGAGGAAAGGCATCTACAGTATCTAGACTAGTTTTTATTTTACTGTAAAAGAAAAGAAAAATGAAAAAAGAAAGAGAGAAAGAGAAAGAAAGAAGGAAGGAAAAAGAAAGAAAGATCATCTAATTGGTATTTTGGGTATTGATTATGCAACTGTCTAAGAAAGCAGTTCACAGTTTTGATGCCCTCTGCTCTTCGATGTCTCGGGATTTAGCCTCATAGTGACTTGAGCACTATGAACTAATACTTACTTGTTTGTCCTCCCATGCCTCTAGCTGATCACCACTCCCAAGTCTGAGAACAACATGTATGTGCAGCAGCGCGATGAGTATCTGGAGAACTTCTGCAAGATGGCCACCAGGAGGATCTCTGTGGTCACCATCTTTGGTCCTGTCAATAACAGCTCCTTGAAAATTGACCACTTCCAGCTAGGTGCTCTAAATTATTTTATAGTTTTGTTTTTGTTTGTTTGTTTGTTTTGTCTCTTATCTGTGGTGGGCCAGTTGCTATGGGAGAGACCTTGGGTGGGGGTTGGACCAAAAGAAACATTGGAATGTCTGGAGATACTCTGGTTGTGACGGTGTCCGTCTGTCTGTCTGTCTGTCTGTCTGTCTATCTAATCAACCTACGTACCCACCCACCCATCCATCCATCCATCCATCCATCCATCCATCCATCCATCCATCCATCCATCCATCTATCCATGCAGCCAGCCAGGAACACTCTGGCTTAAGATATTAGCATTTTAAAACAGAGATATATAGTACTCTTTTTTTTAAGTCAGAAGGGTGGTGGAAATGAGAGAGTATGCAGCCCTTTCTCTTGGATCCTGGGTCCTCTTGCCTGTGAGAAGCACCAGTCAATATGCCTACATACTTTGTGCTCCAAATGATTCATCAAACATGGGGACCCGCCAGACACCTAGATGCTGGCAAGCCTGGAATGGGAATTAGCTAGAGTTAGAAACTGTTAGACTTAATCAAAAGTCACTGAAAATATGGATTGAACTTCATCCAAATCTTTCTGGAAAGAAGAAGATTTGGCTGAATTTAAGAGTTCTCACAATTTTTCATATTGATGATGTATGTGAGGTACATGGAACCCAGCTCGCTTCAGGCATCTGAGTTGCAATTCACAGCAGTTCCCATGGTCATGGTGTGAAGAGTCACTGATTGGTTAAGCCTCACACTTAGAAGGCTGGAACCAGAGGCAATGGCTTCTTTTATAAGTCTTTACACATAAAACATTTTATATAACAGTGTGTGTGTGTGTGTGTGTGTGTGTGTGTGTGTGTGTGCATGTGTGTGACTTTGGTCATTTTTACCCCCATTACTCTCTCTCTCATATACCTCCCTCTCCCACTGAGCCCCTTATTCCTGATAAAAGTTTTATTTTTTGGAAAATCTTTTCTTTTCTCATTTTTACCTCAAATCCATGTCTCCCCATTCACAATACAGACCAGGCACAATGGCCTAGGCTGAGCTGTACATGCAGTACATTCTGCCTCCTCTCCTTATATAGTCTATGTAAGAACACAGCCTGTGGTAAGCACAAGGAGGCCGGAAAATATTTTCTTAAACATTAGTTCACTGCTTTTGTTGTTTAACTGTAATTAAAGTTCTTTGGCTTATTCTTTATATTTCGTTATCCTCTATATTTTGTCACAGAATATATTTCTTCTGAAAGTATAAGAAAATATTAGCATTTGCACAAAATAATATATCATAGCTCAGATTTTTCGGATGCAAGCTCTTGTTACAAATGACACATCTGTCACACTTATGGTGCCAACTTGATTTGCACATGGGCTAGTTTTCTAAACTATGCACTTTCAATTGTAGCAACAACATTAACATAAGATCTATTGTCATAACAAATGTTTTGCTGTAAAGTATAGTAGTCTAAGTATAGGCACAGTGCTACCCAACAGTTCTCTAGAATATAGCTGTACATTTTTAGCTATGTATTCCCTTTCATTATCTCACTATCCTCTGAGGTGGCTACAAAAACCAAATAAATACCATCCCCCATCATAATCACATGGATTGGTAACTGATTTGTGAACTCTTTCCCTCTGCTATGTGAATAATGCCTTTAGTCAACAACAACAGCCAGATGTGGTGACACACACCTTTAGTGTCAGATGTATCTTTGTGAGGCAAAGCCAGATGTATCTTTGTAAGGGCAGCCTGGTCTATATGGTGAGACTGTGCCTCAAAATACTAAAAATAACAACAATTAAATAATACCAAGAAACAAAAAAAGGTAGCTCTGGAGGCCTGTAAGTTCACAGTCAGAGTTACAATCTATTTGTTGTGTGATCTTGGGCAGGTCAGCTCTTAAGTCCTTAAAGAAATCAAACCTACTTTGCAGACTATGGTGAAGATGAAATAAGATTGTGCATATACACCCCTGCTTATAATAGGCACTATTCTTGTGGCCATCCTTATCAGGTAGTAGTGTCGGAGTTGTCACAGCTGTCACCAGGGAAACAAATGCCATTGCTTTCTGCGAATTATAGACTGTTGACTTGCAACTGCTCTTTCAGGTCAGATTGCATTAGTCCTCTTGATGGTAAATGAGCAGCCCAAGAGAGTAATAACAGAACGGCACATTTAGTGGTTAACAGGGACTCAAACTATTTGTTTCCTGGGGTTTCACATGGTCACTTGAGCCAGCAGGCTTCGTGATACTCCAGATGTCTGGAGAGGAAATAGACATTTAGTCCAGCACAGACTGGTGCTGGCAGGTGATAAAAGTCCTTCTCAGCCAGGTGTTCTCAGTGTCAAATGTGCTACTTACTAATTCTTCCACCCAGTGTTCCCATTCCTTAGTTCAGAGGAGTTTGGAAAAGTCATTACATCTTCTACTTCAATCTTGGCATAGCCGTATTGTTAGCATCTGGTACCGCCTTGGAAAATTTTTAGCATTATTCTGTGTTTTCTAGAAATCTGGATTGAATGTGAGCTGTAGGGGGCTGAGATTTTGTTGTTGTTGCTTTGTTTTTCTGAGTTATTGGAAGTCAGATCTTATAGTTTGCATTTCTGTCGCAAAGAGTGACAGCACTGGCCTGATTTGGAGGTAGGGGAGGTTCTCTCACCTAATTCCTGGAAGGCCTTCCCCTCCCTGTGTTGTGACCCAGGTTACCCCTATAAGAAAGGCTTGTAGCTCTTCCAGCCAAGGCTGGGAGTCAGTGATGGGAAAAGAAAACTTGGCATGCACCAGGGTCTCAGTGAACCAAATCCCAGCTTTGTCTGATTTTCAGCTGGAAGGCTGTCCAGTGGCTTTACTTCTCCTTAAATATGAAGGGAGTAGTGTGTGTTTTTCCAGAATTTTGCTAGGCCCTGAAAGCAGATGCTGACAACCAGACACAGTGTAGGCTGCCCTCACCGGCTGGTCCATCTTGCTAAAGGTAGTTGTAATATCTGTTGTGGGCCTACAAACACTAGGAAACTTAACTTAGGGTTTCAGACATTAGTATACAAACTCTAGGAAACTTAATGTTTCAAACTTTAGTCTAAAGAAAGTTATGAGACTATGTCAAATTCCAATGCCCTATGGGTTTGCCAGCACAGATGTATGAAATGCTAAAATGCATTCACATATAAAGACATTATTGTTATTATGTAAAATGTCACTATAGCATAAGAATATTCCTGTATATGTTGAGTGGGAAGAACATAGACAGATTGGTCAGATAGGAAGAAGTTGCTGGGTAATAGTACTTTATTAAAAGATGAAATGAGGTAGAACATAGCAGATAAGAATTTTTTACTTCCAGAAAAATATAAACTTGAAAAATACTTTGACATGGGTAGGGATCCCCAAATATTAAGGGCTAAAACACAAGGAATACTTTAAACTCTCTTCCTCCTTCATCTCCCTCCCCAAGCTGTGCAAGTGTGTGTGTGTGTGTGTGTATGTGTGTGTGTGTGTGTTATGTACAGATGCCTCACCTTCCCCGAGTGTGACTATATTCAGAGATGACTCTCTACCTTATTCTTTTGAGAAAGGGTCTCTGGAGGAATGTGAGAATGTTGTTTCCACCAAAGGTCCCAGTATCTGTCCACTCCACCCACTAACACTCATGTGACAGGTTTTTACATGAGTTCTAAGGATTTGAACTTAGGTCTTCAGACTTGTACAAGTGCTCTTGCTTACTGGTCTACCTCCCAGCCCTGATAACTTCTTCTGAAGGTATGAATGTTTAAGGGTAATAAATAAAAAGGAGGTAGAAAATTGATGGGTGTGGAATACAATGACAAGAAGAGACAATGTATAAATAATTTATACAAGTAAAGAATACACACAGATGAATTTTAAACTAACTTTTACAAATAAGAATGACAGAATACATCCCAGCCTAAAACATTTTTGCCTTCAATTTTATTGAAGAGAATTATGTTATACAGTGAAACTTACAATCATCAGTATCCATCCCCAACCTGCTTTAGTCTTGAGGCAGTCCAGAAAAATTGATCCTCTGGCTCCAACTGTCATTTTTATCTGTGGTGACAGCACCTGGCAACTGCCTTTTCTAGACCTCACCATCCTTAGTAAGGCAGAGGATCTGGGTGAGTGGATTTCCAGCTTCTAGATGTTTCCCTTGTGTTTGTGCAGTCTCTAATTATCAGCAATATATTTATATAGGCTACCAGCTACAAAGCCTAACACCCATTCACTCATCTTATTCCACCACTCTCTGCCTTTAAGATCAAATGTACCAGTGTCAAGAGCAACCCCTTGTAATCAAGAGGGATAAAAATACATAAGTCAAATCTGTAAAACAAGTCAGTGGAGAATGTGGTGGAAAGGTAAGTTATTCTCTGTCAAAAGATGAGCTGATAAAGAAAACATGGCATAAAAATACCTGAAGGAATTGTAGTAACCATTAAGAAAAATGAAATTTGCAGAAATACATTGGAAATCACACTAAGCAAAATAAATCAGACTCAGAAAGATAACTAAACATTTTCTCTCATATGCAGAAGCTAAATTTAAACTTTTATGTGTATGTGTGTATGTATATACATAAAAAGATAGACTCTTACAACCTCCATAAACAGAGATAACAGAAAAAAATTAATAGTGATGTTATTAATGGAGAAACCTTAGGAAGCCAAATTTATATCCTGTTAGTTTTGGAAACTGAGGTGTTTTATCTGTATCTAACTTTTGGAGGAGTTGATATATTTTATATAATTTATGTAAGAAGTTATACATTGATGGTTCTTGAATATATGAATGATTCTTTCACCCTATTATTCCCTGGCCTCTGCGGGCAACTATGTGTACAATTTTTTCTTTACTAATCTTATATTTCTTAATGAAACTACAAACTAGTATAAATATCTATTTTCTATTCATTAAATATAAATATATATTGGATATATAACACACATATGTAGAGATACATATATATGCATATATATATACATATATATGTAGAGAGAGACAGACAGAGTCACTAAATTGTCCAGGGTATCCTGGAACTCACTCTCTAATCCAGATTGACCTTGAATTTACCATCCTGCTGCCTCAATTCCCTATGTCCATGATCAATGTGTTGAGGGAAGCCATAGTTCTGATATCAAAAATAAAGAGCTGGAGCATAGTGTATGGAGGAAGTCTTAATAGATTTACTAGTTAAGATACACTGAATCCATAACACTAATGGCCTTATATGTTATGGTAAGAATTCAGGTTCTCCTCTGTGAGATATCTTTCTGTCCTTTAAATCATTACAGTTAGGTAGGAGATCTGATAAATGCAGCCGCTTGGCCTTACTATGAGAGATTCTAATTTGATTGGTCGGGATCCAAAGATTGTAATGGTAAGCTTCCAGGAACTGTGATGACAGTAGGTGATGCGTTCTACATATCAAGAAACAGCTAACGAAGAGAGGGGAGTGCTGCAACCATAGTAAACAGTGAAATGGTCCTGCCATTGGTGAAAGTGCAACTCTTGCCTCAAAAGAAATAATGAAGTCCATGATGGTAAAAAATGAGAGATCATGGCCTGTGAAATAGATTCCGGTCACCTTGAATGTCATGCTGTAATGTGATTTCCTCTTTACTCATCCCCTTTGCTTTTCTTCTTTTTAAGACAGGGTCTCAGTATGTAGCCCTGACTGGCCTACTCATAGGCCAGGCGGGCCTCAAACTCACATAAATCTATCTGCCTTTGCCTTTAGAGTGCTTGGATTAAAGGTGTGCACCTCCATGCCTGGCCTCCCCACCTCATTTTTGAGACAGTCTCTCATGGAACCTTGCTTGCTGATTGGTTAGACTGGTGAGCTAGGACACCCTCATGCTCAGCTTTTTATGTGGGAACCAGAGATCCAAATCCAAGTCCTTATGCCTGCGTGGCAAGTACTGTACCAGATGAGTCATCGCCTCAGCGCCAGATGTTATCTTTTAACATTCTTAACTTTAGGGTTGGTGCAAGCCCGAGATCTGCTGAGTAACACATTCCAAAAGCTTTGCTAATAGTCAGAAAGATGTTAGGTCAAGTACATTTGGGAGTAAGTGGATATGAAGGAAACTAAAGATAGTCTGAGAC